TCTTCCCAGCTATTGATAATGATCCGATAATTCTTGATAATAGGGCTACATCCGCCAAAAATATTTTCGGGGAGGTTTACAGCGGTTTTCAGGATGATCCCTGTGTGATAGATGCATTATCTTTGCCGAATAGTCGCATAGTGTGATTAGACTTATTCACAGTATATAGACACATGCATACATTTCAATGATATTCTATATTTCCAGAAAAAAAAGGATCTCTATTTCTTTTACTGCCGTGTACCTTCTAATGCTGATATTTCCAGGTAATAAGAAGAGCAAAATACAAGCGCAAATCGCTAGGGATTTGATCTAAATCGTAATACAGTTAACAATTAATTTAAGAGGTGATTAGTTTACTTTCATCAATCTTAATGAACGATATTGACTCTGTGACCTACCTAAGTGAGCATAGCGTCATCACGAAAGGATCTTGTCACAGACATCATACAGTCTGGAACGTTTATTCCATGCATTTAAATCAATTTTAATTTATATACGGTTTCATGCCTCAGTGTAATAACTTGTTCGAAGCCTTCAAATCGACTCAGTTCTCGTTTGCGTAAAATAAAGTTTTAATCAAACTAAAAAGAAATAGAACGATTTAAACACTATAAGAGGGTCTCCGATATCCCTAATTAAGAACTAAACGATTGCCTTAATTAGGGTCAAGTTCTGTTGTTTATGATTAAAAGTATTGATATCACAAAAATGCATTTATGTAAGTCCTTTAACTTCTAATCGCGAGTAAACTGGTTAGGGACAGAAGTGACTTCCAGTGTCGTAAAACTTTAGTCATTTATTAATAAAAGATGTACAGCTATAAATTTAACAGTTCTTTACAAACGCATCCTTATAGAAAATTACAGCCAAATTCGGACGTTTGGCTCGGTTTATAAACGACTTTCCAAAAAATTAACCATTACCTGTCAAATGACCTAAAATTTAACCGTCAACCGCCGAAAGGGTTTATTTTAACCGTCAACCGTCCCCCCGTTCCCCCCTCTAATTGTTGCATTAGGTGTTATAAATTAAAAGTTCTTTACAAACATGTCATTATGAAAAATTACGATTTTAACACAATAACGAGGTGAACAAAGGTAATAAAATCTCGATGCATTGAGCAATACAAACATAAACGGTGCGTATCAGTCAATACCTACAATCCTTACCCGAGATTTAAATTAAAAGCTCAAAGATGTATGAACGACAGGGAAAAAAGAGTTAGACTCTCTTTGGAAATGATTTAATTGAATTGAAAATCATTTCTAGTATTGGCGCCGATGTTTCATTGGTGTTTTTCTGTTAACGATATAAAGTCACAAGTTACGCTTACGAGTGTTCTTAAGTTTCTCCCCGAGCAAGCGCGTAAACTCAGTCTCGGTCAGGGCATTCGTAGTCTCTTTCTCGTTTCTCTCTAACACAAAAACTGTCGTCGTGTGAAACTTCAAAAGGACCTCTAATAGCCCCCATAAACTGAAAACCGTTTTTCGGTAGGAATTCTGTCGGTACAAATATTGATACCTTAACATAAGCATTCTCATTTTCTGATTTCACAGCTTGATCGGTTGGTTTCTTCAAATTATCGAAGCCCTCGTCATTCGTAGCGTAAAGGATCACATTGACCTCGTTCTTGTATTCGACAATCTCACCTTGGTCAAGTCCCCGAACACCTAATGCGTTCAGCGTTGTTGTAAAGGCTTTGCTTCCGTAAACGCTCTTTGGGTTTTGGGCATCCCAAAGTCCAAACCAGCATCCTGTAACGATGTTTTTCCTTTCGCTTCCTTTGAGTTCTTTTGCTTCCTTTATCGATTTGGCTTCTTCGGAGTGAGTGACATGAGCTATCTCCGTATTCTCGTTAATGACAACATTCTGGATTTCTTCACCATAGCTGCTCAAAAGTCTCTTCTTTCCATAATCGTCGACGAACAGAGGAACTTCAAGAGTTTTGAAGATAGTGAGACTTTTTAAGATATTGGGTACTTTTTTGAAGACTCCTGCATATGCTCTGAATGACGAAGATTCGTTACGCCATTTTCGAAGAATTGCCTTTGCAAGATCATCGAGAGGTTTCGTAAACTGACACCTTCTTACTTCGTTTTCTACGCGGTAAAGACCCTCTAAGGCAAGAAGAGCAACCACTGGATCTGTGTCCTCCAAGATCGGTCGGAGAATCTCCAAGAAATGATTGCACTCATCAAAAGAATAGAAGGGATGAAACAGTTCAATCTTTTCCATCTTCAGGTAGTCTTAAATTTCACTTTACAAAGAACCTGAATTTGGGTTTAATTGAATAAAACGAGGCCTTGAGAACACCAGAGATTTAACCTGGGCGCTTTGACTAAAAGCACAACAACAGACTTCAAACGCAAGACTGCACTAAGAGTGAAAAAAATTTGCATACTAACAGCATGGAATGAGCCATAGCTTTTGCTGATTGGGTAAGAAGAAACATGCAAGCACCATATGACGCCCACCTGCCTTGAACACAATGGATGTT